CGGTGTGGGTTGGCCCCGCGCCGCCGCGCAGGGGCCCCCCGCCACAGGCCAGGCACAGCGCCCAGAGGAGGCGCTGGCCACTGCGGGGGCTGACCGGCGCGAGGAGACTTGGCTTCACGTGTTGGCCTAGGTCTCCTCGCTGAGCAAGCTGCCACCTACTGCGTCCAGCAGAGTGGACAGCATGGGGGCCCCTATGGCCCCATCAGGGCTCGAGGGTGGAGCAGGTAGTAAGGGCAGGGCCTGGCCAGATGCTCCCCGACTGCCCCGAAGTAGCCGGTAGTGCGTCCCGGTCTGGCGAAGGTGGAGGGTATAGCCAGCACTCGCCCGGGGCAGCGGAGTGGCCAGCAAGGGGGCTCTGGCTGGCCTACAGCGGTGCTCTGGGTTTCCAGAGGAGGACACTCCTGGAGGCCAGGAAGGCCTGGCGGGGAACCGTGGTGTGCCTGGGATGGAGGCAGGAAGCCCCCGCCTGGCTCCCACCAGCTCCTCAGGTCTGAGCCCCTCCCCTGGGCTGGAATCCCAGCCACCCCGTTCCTGGACGGTTAGGCATGCCAAGAATGGGCCCAGCTGTCGTCCCAGCCCAGAGCGGCTGCCCTCCCCTGCAGGCCGAGCCTCCCCAGCTGCTGCGGGCTTCAGAGGGTGAGGGTGCGTGGTGGGTGGGGCCAGGACAACCCTCTGTGCTGGGCGGTGGCCACCCTGCTGGTGGGGGGCTGCTTCCCTGTGACCCTGGGGGTTTGCGCTCTAGCAGACAGCTCCAGCACTGCTGGGGGGTCGTCCACTGCAATGCCCCCACGGTGCTGCTTGTTCCCAGACCACGTGGCTCCCTGAGGCCTGGACACGGCCTGGGGGCCTTCCCAGCAGGTCAGAGTCTCGATTTTGCCCCACCCCTCCATGCCCCCAGCAGGTGGGTGTAGACGCACTACCAGCCAGCCCAGTAGGGTACAGACGAGCTCGTTCTGGGTTAGGGAGTTAGGGACTCGGTGGGGCTGCGGGCAGAGGTGACGTGGCCGGGAGGTGGCCCCTCATCTCAGGCTGTGACCAAGTGCAAGTCTGGGTGGAGCCATCCCCAGCCCTGCCGTGTCCCCTGAGGGCACCCCTGCCTGCTGGGGCTCACAGAGGTGGGGACGGAAGAGCACAGCTTAGGCCTGAGCCCGGCAGACACTGGCGGGGCGGGGGTGGAGCTGCTGCCTCTCGGGGCTCTGTGCAGGCCCCCCACGGCCGGCCGTCTTTGGGGAGGGGTGTTCTGTACTAGCCCTGGGAGGGAAGCAGGTGAGGGGCCGGAAGGGAAAAGCGGCCGCTGGGGCTCTGGCACCCCACCTGCAGCACAGTTCACCTGGAGGCTGCTGAAAGGCTACCCCCCAGCCCAGAGGGGCAAAGGGTCTCCGGGCGTCTCGGCAAGTGCTGGGCCTCCCGTGATGTACTGGGGTCCTTAAGGAGCTGTCCCTACGGTGATGGGGGAGGGGGCACTGGTGGCTCCAGGATGTGGGGTGTCCACCGTGCTGTGCAGAGGGGTGTGGGTTGCAGGGGCCGGGCTGGGCTGGGTCTGAGAGTGACCACGCTGTGCTGGGCCGGCCGACGTGGGCAGCCGACATGGGGCCGTTGTCCCCAAAGAGGGCGGAAGTGGCCAGGGCGTGGGTGGCTGCAGGGCCGCCGCTGAAGGGTCTGGCTGGCCTGGTCAGCTGCCAGGGAGTGAAACCTGAGCTGGCCAGCCAGAGGAGGTCTGCGGGAAGAAGGGGCTCAGGGAACCCCGGGGTGGGTGCCGGAAAGGGACCAACTCCCTTTGCCAGCATCCGGTACAGTGCGGGTGCCCAGACCCTGCGGCAGAGCTGGGTCTCTGTACCCGCTAAGCTCTCTTGTAAGCCCCTGAGGCGAGTGGTTGTCCTGGTGTCCCCAAGGATGGCCTAGCCCCTGCCCGGTCCAGTCCCTAGGAGGCAAGGCCGCTCCACTGAGACCACGTCCTCCAGGCCCATGGCCCTCCCAGCACTGCCTGGCAGCGTGGGCACAAGCAGGCCGTCCGACCAGGGGCAGCCTCGCGGCCTGTGCTTCTTCCTCCCTGCTCCCCCACATGGGGGCGGCGGCCAGCAGCCTAGGGGCCTGCCCCACAGCTGGGCAGCACAGCAGGGTCTCGGGCAGAGGCTCAGTGACTGTCCTGGGACCCAGCCAGTGTGGACAGAGCTGGTGGAACCAGGCTCCCGGGGCGGAGGCACTCCCAGAGAAGGCGCTCCTGGAGGGCAAGCCCAGCCACCCCTGCTGCCCTGAACGCGGGGTCTCCGTGCCCGCGATGGATGCTGGCTGCAAGCCAGCCAAGCCTAGGCAGGGAGGCCACTGCTCCTTCAGCGATCCCACAAGCCCAGTGGCCCCCAGACCCTGGGCCTTGCACCTCGGCGGCAGGGACCCAGCCAGGGGACCACGCATTCTCAGCCTGGCTCCCCAGGCTCACAGTGATTCCACCCAAGGCGTGTCCAGGTGGAGGCGGGATACACCCCTGGGATCCCTGGGCACAGAGCACCCGGCCGTCCCACCCCCTCGGGCCTCAGCTCACAGGCGCCTCTACGGGGTCGCCAGCAGTCCTGGGGAGGCTGCCTGCCCCACTGGAAGAAGCTGGTCACCGCGGGGTGCCAAGGCCTTACCTGGGCCAGCAGTCCGAGGGCGAGGAGCCGCGCGGCGTCCATTGTGCGGTGGCGGAGGCAGGCAGCGAGGGCAAGTGTCCCGCACCGCGGCCCGAGCGGCACCTTCTGCTCGCGACCCGAAGAGCGCGGCCAGGCTGAGTGACAGCACAAGTGGCGGCTGAGCGCCGAGCGACCGCACGTGTACAGGCGGGGCGGGGCCTGGGCGGGGCCTGAAGCTGAGTGACAGCGCAAGCGATCAGCCGGGGGCCTATCGACCGCACGCGTGTGGGAGGGGCGGGGCAGGCGGGGCGGGGGCGGGGCTTGTGAGTGACAGCCAAAGGACTCCGCGGCCGAGAGCGGAGCCACAGAACGCGGGGCCCAGGGCGGAGTGACCCGCGGGAGGCCCTGGGGCCCAGGCGGTGGCAGGCGGGCCAGGGCAGTTAGGCCGCAGTCTGGAGAGGCCAGGGCCTGCAAAGCGTGCAGGGCAAGTCGAGGGAGGAGGCTGCCGGCAGGGCGGCGAGGCCGCGGCGCGGGGCTCTTCGTTCCCCGTCGGCCCGGCCGCCCCGGGCCTGAGCACGGCCGCGAGCCTTTCCTCGGCGCGAGGCTTCCACGGAGAATGTGCAAACTTCACTTTTGTACCTGCTATCCAAGGGCAGCGGGGCGGGGCTGTGCTTCCGGAGACTGCTCGGGACCCGCGGCGGCGCGGACCCTCCTCCCCGGCGGAAACTCAGACGACGGCCTTGCCGATAGATTTATTTGGGAGAAGCTTACAAATTGGGCGGCGTGAGCGTGGACCGAAGCCATCTATGTCGGGTAGGCAGGGCGAGCAGACGGGGAGTCCCGCGGAGCGCAGCGACCGCAGGCAGCTGTCCGCAGGTCCTGGCGCTGGGACCAACGCAGGCCTGACCGCGCAGACAGCTTGACCACGCGGGGAGGCAGAGCGGCTGCAAGTCGGTCAGTCCGTGAGGATCCTCTGTGCACGCAGACGGCCCCGTTCTGAGCTCGTGGTTGGCTCCTTTTTATGCAGAGTTGCTGTGATTTTACGTGCACTGCGGGGATGTCTGAGGGAGCTCCCCAAGTATTTTGGTTGGGACATTCTTGGTGAAAACTTTTAGCAAAAACAACTCTTGATCAAAACCTTCAAAAACAAGTTGGTTAATAACAACTTAGCCTTGGCACTCCATTTTTATTTCAGCATAAGCGACTCCATTTTAGGAGCTGTTGAACACTGTCCCACCCACTCTCCCCTGTACGGTCTGCGCCATACTGCGCATGGCTGTTGCCAGTGTCCCCAACTAGGGAGAAGTCCCACCAGGACTGGGGTTTGCCCGTGAGGTTCCCTCTCCAGCAGAGGAAGGCCCTGCACAGACATAGCTAGGTCACAGAGCAGGTCTCGGGATGGGGGCCTCCAGATGCCCAGGGCAGCAGGAACCCTCTGGGGGCCCGCCCTGTTGATCGGACCCAGTTTCCTGTGGCTGGCAAGAGGAAACAGGTGGAGAGTCAGGGTTGGTGGCCCAGGGAGCCTTCTTGCCTGCGTCTCCAGAGGCCTGGGGTGGGTGTGGCCACTAGGGCTCCAGACTCAGGGGCTGGGGCCGGCTGGGAGGGGCCAGGAACCACCTTCAAGGAGACAGTCAAGAGGTTCTCACTCCCGGGAGGCACCAGTGCAGTACAGGCCAGGTGGAGGGCTGGGTGGGGTCTGTGCCAGGGCGCTCAGACCGGGGCTAAGCCTAGGCAGGTGGGCGCGGGCAGGCAGGCAGCTGCTGCACCTGCCCTGCTCTGATGTGCACCTGCTGCAGGCTGGGTGCTGCTCCCGCTGGCCCTGGGTCCATACACACACCACAGGCGTGACGCTCACCACACTACAGGGTTCTCTGCACACTTGCAGAGAGGGCCTCTTGAGTCCCCCCACTGGCACTTACAGCCGTCCTGCCCTCGGGTCCTTGTGTGGGGCCCCGTTGCCTCCTCTCTGAACCAAGCTCCCCTAGGTGAGGGGCTTTCTAATACCTTTGTACCTGCTCACACCCCAAAAGGGAACCAGGAATCCCATCCCATGCAGAGAGGCATGTCTTAGGGAACTGCAGAGTAGGGTGGGCCACCCGACCACCTGAGCTCCCAGCAGGTGTGCAGGGGAAGGGCTTGCTCACCTCTCGTGCATATCAGGCCCCCACCCTGCCACGACTGGACAGGGAGGGTGGGCGGTCCAGGCATCACCGCTCAGGCCTTGTGCTGCCTGGACTCCACCAGCTAGGCCAGGATCCTGGGGTTCCCAGTGAGCAGTTGACACAGGTATGCTGGGAGGACACCAGGGTGTGCAGGTGCCTTCCTGCTCATCCCTTCCCAGGCCCCTATCGGCCACCATCCCACAGCCGAGGCTCCTGCATCGCGGCAGCCTGACCTGGACTGGCATGCTCACACGGTTGCCCGGCCTCGCCGAAGGACTCCCCCGGCCTCGCCAAAGGACTCCCCCGTGTCTGTGTTCCCACTCCCACCACCTCCTGGCCCACCCCAATGCCCTCCTCTTCGACTCCCTCCGGTCTCCTCGGCCACTCCCATGTCCCTGCTGCCGGGGGGGGGACGCTGCCTTCAACACCTCCCTCCCTGCTGGGCCCCGTGCCCAGGTTCAGCACTGCCCCCTCCTGGTCTCCAGGGAGCTCCCGTTGTGGGGGTCACTTGCCACAGGTCTGCCTGTCCTCCGGCAGAGTGAGTGTGCCCCAACAGCCACACGGGCCAGGGTGCAGGACCTGTGGGCCGCGCTGCAGCAGACACCGTGGGATGGTGCAGGGTGGCGCCATCTGTGTCCAGGCCTGCTTGGAAGAGGCCAGGCTGCAGGAGGCTCCGGAGTCCGCAGGAGGGCAGAGAACCGTCCCTGCAGGCTCTACCTGGAAGCAATAGGGTTCTGCCTTGTAGTATTTGTGGGGGAGGCAGGCGGCCACACTGCCGGCCCCCCACCTGGAAACAGGCTTGGGGAGACGCCTCTGCTCCTGCACCCCTTTTCCACCCTTCCTCAGCCTCGCTCTGACCATCTGTCTCCCCAAAGCCTAGCCTGGGGGTGGGGGTGTTGAGAAGGATATGGCAGCCAGACCTCAACTTGTCCCAGCTGCACCGAGGACCAGCGGCTTGGCACAGGGGTGGGCTTGGCTGGCTGGAGGTCCAGTCCCAAGTCTCCCGCCTCTTGTGTCAAAGGATGGGGTGGGCTCCAGGACCAGTGACCTCTGAGGGCCCCCTTCTTCCCAACATTCCAGGCAGTCCCGCACGGCTGCACCCTTCCTCACCCTCCCCACACTCAGTCCCCCAGCACACCTCACACCGCAGGTGTGGGCGCGCAGGTGCATGAGGGCCGGGGTGAGTGGGCGGGGTGGGGGAGGCTGTGGGTGGGGCACAGAGTGGGAGGGGCAAGACAGGTGAGGCCTGTGGGTAAGCCCTGGGTAGGGGGAGCGGGGCTTGTGCATGCAGGGCAGGTGTGGGAGATGGGGTAGGATACCAGAAAGAGGGGCTGCGGGGGTGGCCAAGTGAGAGCCTGGTGCCTGAGCAGCACCCTCCCACCTATGAGGTTCAGCAAACCTCCTGGCTGTCCCCACCTCCGCTCCCTGGATGACCCTGCTTCCTCCAGTTCCCAGCTCACCCCCAGGCCCAGCGGGGTGCAAAGCGGTCTTCACAGCTTGCCTGTGAAGGGGAGGGGCGGCCCCGTGTGGGGAGCTTGGCTGTGGGTGGGGAGACTAGGAGGGGACAGGGGCTGGGCAAGCCTAAGCAGTGCCCAGCTTTCTCAGGGTGAGCACGGCAGAGCAGATGGGGTGCACTGCTGGAGCAGCCCTGGGACGGCTGAGGCCGCCAGGTGCACAGGCATGTGTGAGACTACCTGGACACACAGCGGGCCACACAGCAGCCACTGACCCAGGGACCACTTGGTCCTACGGGCCAGAACCCGGGCTGCACAGGACGTCTCTGAGCACCCACATACCTGCTGGGCGCAGAGCCCAGACACTGAGGCAGGGGGACCAGCTGGGCCTGGCAGGCTTGGGCTGGGGCTCAGGGTCAGGGTAAGGTGACAGTTGGAGGGGTTGCGCCCAGCTGCCCGGAAGCAGGACAGTGGGCGTGGCTTGGAGGCTGTGCTGAAATCAGCCCCCTCTCTGACGGCTCGGGAGCCTGGTCTGTCTGGGGCTCAGCCCCCAGCCAAGGAAGTGGGCCTGGCGACTGCACCAGAGCAGAGACCAGAGATGCTGACAGCCCGCCATGCCTGGCGCTGTGACGCCCAGCCACACCACCCACCGCACAGGGCCCTCATGATGTGGCCGGGACCTCGCTTGGTGCGTGATGACCCAGCTGCCACATGGCACCCGGCGCCTGTATGCAGTTACTATGCGGAGGACGGACAGACAGACGGGAGCAGGGCTGCGGACAGGCAGCACCACCTGCCAGGAGAGGACGCCCTTGTTCCAGGTGTGAACTTGGGGTGCCTGGACTCTGGGCTGGCCCCTGGGGCCAGGAGGGGCAGGGGGTCCTGCAGAGGGGCCTCCAGTCCCTGAAATGCCTCCAGGGGTGGAGGAGACCGGATGGAGCAGGGCTGTGTGGCGGGGCCAGGGAGCGTGGCAGGCGTGGGCCTGCTACCGGCTAGGTCTCCCTCTGGCAGCTGCAGGATGGCGTGCAGGGGTATAGGAGGGCCGAGTGGCGCCTGTGTTTGGGGCTGCTGTCTATCAGAGCCCTTAACACCCTCTCCTGCACACACAGTGGCTATTCACCGGGTACGACATGGGGGGCATTTAAACTCCATGGACAGGCGTCTGCAGGTGGCATGGTGGTTGGGGTGCTGGACTCCCACATGGCTGACTGCGGTTCAAGTCCTGGACCTGCTGGCTTGCTTTCTCACTTTCCTCTCTCTCTGGTGGGCACACATGCCCTATGGTAAATTTTAAAATTAATAAGAAATAAAACTAATTGTAAATTAAAACTGTTTTTGTGGGGAGAGGTTTTTGCTATATGGCACGTGCACTCGCCAGAAAGACAGAGAGAGACAGAGAGACAGAAACACGCCGCAATCCCTTCTCCTCCATTCTCCTCTCAGGATCTTGGGCACACACACACACACACACGCCCGGCGTGAGTTTAAGCTACCGGGTCTGGGACTCGAACTGCAGTTGACCATGTGGGAGTCCAGCGACCTAACCATGATGTCACCTGCTGGTCCCTAAAAAATTAAAAAAACAAAGCAAAAAACATGGACAGACAGACAGCAGGTTGGAAGGAGTGTGTGGAGCAGGTGTTTGCAGACCCCACAGGCCTCTCTGCCAGGCCCTCCGGTGGCCCAAGCAGGATCTGTCCGTGTGAGCTGGGCAGAGGGGCACTGGAGGCCAGCCTGGTCAAGCCTTCTGGGGCTGTCTCTGAGCTGCCACCGCGTGCCCTGCAACCCGAGGCTGGCCTTGACTGCTACCCTGTGAGTTGGAGCACCTGGCTGGGCAGTGGCCCTGGGCCCTGCACCTGGCCTGGTGCCTGGCACACCTTCCGGCACCAGCAGGGGGCAGTGCAGCTCCAGGGATCCCCGGTGAGGCATGAGCAGCAGCTGGGAGGCGGTTGTCAGGGCTGGGCTGGGAGGTGGGAAGGGGCGATGGGCCTTGCACACGCTGTCTTCCCGTGTCCCCAGACCCAGAGCCCTCTCCCGGCTGTCCTGCTCGCGAAGCTCCCACGCTGGACAGGTCAGGGGCAACGGGAGCTGTGGACACAGCCAGCAGACGCCTGCACTGCACCCTCCCTGCTCCGGTCCTGGCGTCCTAACCAGGTGGGTGCGGATCACCCCGTGGGGATGCGCTTTGCAGCAGGGAGGGGACGGTGCTAGTGGAGGGCAGGTCAGGACACAGGTCTCTCCAGATGGCCGCGTTCCTAGAGCCATTTATGAGCTGGATCTGATGGGACACCCACTCCAGTAAAACTCACCGACATGGGCCAGAGGGGCAGCCGGAGCCTGGTGTGTGTGCTGTGCCCCGTGGGGATGCACTGTGGGCTGGAGCCGGGGCTGCGGCACCAGGGCCTCCTCCTACCCCGCCTAGAACGCCATGAGACTGTGGTGCCGAGCCCACTGTGCCCACTGGCTGGGGCACCTCGCCAGCGTGGGTGGTGTCTGGCTCTCGTGTGGGGATCACCCGGCCCTACCCGCTCTTTCACCTCTGAGCCCCAAGCTGAGGCCTGTGGGGCACATGGGAGGTGGACATGAATGGGGCCTCCCAGCATGCGGGGCCCTGGGAGGACGGCCCTTGAGTGCCCAGTGCCCACTGGGCCTCGGTGGCCTTGCTCTGTGCTGGGGACACCGGTGCCCATCCCAGGTGCTCTGACCCAGGAGGGCGGGGCATGGGATGCTGTGCTGGACAGGTACAGGTGGGCCGTGGCGGCCCTGGCCGGTGTCGGTGCCAGGGACCTGGACAGGGTCTGCACTCCAGGCTGCCCCCACCCTGCCCCACCCCAGCATGCGGCCTCCAGCCCCGCGGAGGGCACTGGCAGCCCCTGGGCCTGCCCTGGGCTCACCCCTGCCCCGACGACCCTGCCCCTGCCCTGCCCTGCAGACACTGCCCCACTGGCCCCTGCCCTGTGGACGCTGCTCCGCCCCGCCCTCCGCCCTGCAGCCCCTGCCCTGCCTACATGCAAGCCCTCCTCTCCTGGCCAGATGCTGCTGTCAGCCTGGTTTCAAGGTGCCTCCCCGGGGCCCATCCTGTGCGTGAGCTGAGGTGAGGCAGGTCACGGTCATGGCAACTGTGAGGTGCAGAGACTCTGCAAACCCTCGTCCTGGCTTAGCTCCAGATCACGGGGTTGTCTTGGGACGGGGACGGGGACGGGAGGTGCTGCCATTACCAGCCCCAGCAGCTGAGGGCTGACGGGCCGCTGTCACAGCAGTTGGCACAGTGGAGCCCCAGCCCTGAGGCCAGCAGCAGCCGGTCGAGTCGTCCCGGCCCCACCCGCTAAGGCTGGTCTTCCCCTGGGTACCAGCCACGGGGCGCTGCCCAGGGCACTCTCCAGCCTCCGGTCCTGGCGGAGCAGACCAGGGCTCTGGGGTGGGCAGTGCTGCGTCCATAGGAGCCTATCCCTACCGGCCACGACCCGGCCCCCACTCAGCACAGCCTGCGGCCTCCTGTCGAGAGCTCAGGGAGGGCCTTGCCTTAGGGCAAGGGCAGGGGGGCAGGGGACTGGCCCGAGGCCCGGTGTCCCGGTGGGGGCCCAGGCTACTGCCTGTGGCCGTCCTTCAAGGTGCCAGGCACTCCCCTGAGCTTTAGGAATGGCGTGTCGGGGGCCACACAGACCACGCAGCCGCCTTCGCTGACGGCCACGGGCACCCTCACAGCCACTTCCTCTCTAGCAACCTCATCCCCACGAGGCGAGTGCGACACGGGACGTTCTAGCCAAGGGCGCGTGGTACCGGCAAGCCGACCCCTACCCTAGTCCCACCACAGGCTCCAGTGCAGCACACCTGCGGGTCAGGAATGTTCTAGAAGGGCTGGGTGCAGCAGGGACGTGACCCTCATGCTGACCAGAGATGCGGCAGCAGGAAGGGGAGCCCAACTGCTAGGGCTCGGGGGGCGGGGGGGAGGCGTGTGTGCAGACGTGTGCGTCCCCCGTGTGGGCACGGCCAGCTTAGACACACCACCCGACACGGCGGCCTGCTGTCTCCTGGTACAGACCAAGGCTGGGGCGCAGTCCTGGGGCAGCTGGGGAGGGCAGGGATCACCAGCCCCACAGAGGGTCCCGAGGGAACAGCTCCCACTCCCAGCCAGGCCCAGAGGCCCCAGAGCAGGCCCGTGGGCAGAGTCAGGAGCAGGCAGCAGGGTGTTGGGGCTCCCGGAGGGGTCCTCGGGCACAGTGTGGAGGGCAGGGCGGCATTGCCCGCTCCACCCCACCTGCCGTGAGGAAGGGGTGGGGAAGGCACGAGTGCACCTGGGGCCGCAGCGTGGGTCACACTGCCCAGACCTGGGGCCCTCCCAGCCCCCTGCCCCAGGCGGCCTACGCAGGAGCTGGAGCGCCTTGGGCCCATCTGCAAGTCCAGAGGGCAGCTCCGGGAGCCTGGGCCCCTGCGGGTGCCACCAGGTTCTCACCCAGCCCAGAGGGGCCTCCTGGAAGCCTCCTGCCGTCACTCTGACAGGGCAGGGGGCTGCCTGGGTCTCAGGCCAGGCAGGGACTGAGCGGGCATGGGGGGGCGGGGCGTGCACACTCCCCAGGAGAAGCGTGACCCAGGACAGCAGGGCGGGCATCGCCCCCACAGGGCACACACGCCTGTTCTCAGAGGGACGCTGGTGGCACCATTCAGGTGTGGGTGGCATGTGCTCACGCACAAAGCACACGGCTCCACGTGACTCGAGAATCAGACATCTCAGGGCTGAAAGACAGGTCCAGGTTGGGGTCGGCAGAATCGGCACAAATCTCGCCACGCCCACCCCAGGATCCCACAGGCAAGGTTTCCTGAGTTCCAGCAGGCCTGTCCCGGAGGGGAGCTGACTGGCCCAGGCCTCGGGCAGGGGAGCAGGGCAGGCTGTCAGGCCCTGGGGATGGGGTCCCCGTGTTGCACACTGCCCACCTGGGGCCTCGAGGGGGCGTGGCGTGACAGCTGCGACTTGCAGTGTGCGTGGCAGGAGCGGTCTGGGAGGGAGGCGGGGCCTTGGTGGGTGGACGTGAGGGCTTCCACTCCACAGCACCGGGCGGGGCGAGGACATCCCCCAGCGCAGGGGTCACAGGGCAGGCCGGTCCTGGGGCCTCCAGCCTGTCAGGTCAGCTCTAACAGACGGGCTCCCGACGGGCAGCACTTGTCCCCTGTGGAGTCACGGTCCCTCGGGGAGCGGGCCGTGGCGGGGCGGTCCCGGTCACTTGGGGTAGAACCGTCTGAGCAGCTCCTTCTTGCCCACTTTGCCCATCTGGTTCCGCGGGATGGCCTCCACCAGCAGGAGCTCCGAGGGCACAGCGTAGGGCGCCAGGACGCTCCTGCCGAGACGGGCGGGCGCGTGAGCACCCCCTGCCCTGCCCGTGCGTGTGAGGAGCAACCGGCATCGTGCAAGCACGCCGCGCGGGTCACGCCCTGAGGAAGGGCAGGCCTACCCAGGGCGACGGCAGGGCGGCAGGTGGGCAGCGGCGGGAGGCTGAGAGCCGCAGACACCGTCCTGCAGCCACGGGCACATGTGGAGGCCTCGCATACCCTGCGGGCGGGGCCTCAGGGTTCTACACCCGGCTCCAGCCTGGGGCCTCACTGCCCACCCGGGCCTCCGCAGCCTGCAGCGGTGGGCACTGCCCCAGACCAGCACGGCGATGGCCCCTGCCCCCAGGCCACCTGCACACAGCCCTACCTGGCCCACTCCTTGAGCTCCCTCTGTGACAGCGAGTGTCCTTCTCTGAGGGCCACCACAGCTGTGACCCGCTGGCCCCAGGTCACGTCTGGAACTCCAATCACAGCCACATCTGAGGACAGAGATGGGACCCTCAGCAACTGAGGGGAGGGCTCTGGGAACTGCCACCCTGTCCTCGAGGTCCTGCTCCGGTCACCCTGTGGGGCCTTGGGGCCATGGGGACGGGCTTGCTGTGGCACATCCCACCAGGCCTGGAAGCCACACGGGAGGGAGATGCGGTGGGAAGCAGGTTAAGGGGCTGTGGGAGCCGAGTCTCAGAGGGCCCTGCTGGTGCTGGTCGAGGCCCCGGTCAGGCACCGAGGGTGGTACCGCCTGAACTGGGCCTCCCCGGCTGGGCTGCACCCAAGGCCACGCGTGAGCTCAGGGCCACTCACCTGCAATGCTGGGGTGTGCCAGCAGGTGGCGCTCCACTTCCAGGGCGCTGACCTTGTAGCCCCCCGTCTTGATGATGTCCACGGAGGTGCGGCCCAGGATCCAGTACCTTCCGTCCTTAAACACGGCCGTGTCCCCTGAGGAGCGGACCATGCTGGCACTGCCTGGCGGCCCCGCCCGGCCCCCAACCCCCCAGAAGGCAAGCCCCGGGCACTGCAGGTGGGTGGGGTTTGGGGTGCGTCCTGGCCAGGCCCGCCTTGGGGCCGCTGCACCCCGGGCCCAGAGCCTGCAGAGGCCATGGGGACAGGGCGCTGTGCTCCTGAGCCGCTGCGGCTGTCCGTTCCTGCCTGTGTTCAAGAACCACCAGCTGACAGCGGGGCGTGGCGTTTCTGAATGTGCAGTGACGCTCAGCTAGGTGGCTTCAACCCCAACTCGGGACAGCTAGCGTACGGCAGTACCAGGCCCTCCCGCTGGGCCACTGTAGACGGGGGCAGCCCAGACACAGCCCCGACGCAGAGGAGGACGGGGGCCGCCTGGACGCGGAGGAGGATGGGGCCGCCCGGACATGGAGGACGGGGCAGGCTGGGAGGCAGGGTCAGCACGCACACGAAGGACAGGGGCTGGCGTGGGAGTCTCCTGCCCAGCCAAGGCCCATGAGACACCACCACAGGCACGTTCTCGCACTCCCAGGGTACTGCCAGCCGCTAGGAACGGGAGCGGGCCGGGCCCCGTGGGTGACTCGGGTGTGCGCTCTGAGCCCGAGGCGGGGCCCTGCATGTTCACGTAGTGAGAGTGTGTGTGCACACACAAGCGCGTGCGTTCCTGTGTGGACACCTGCCTTACCCTGAGCAGCGCTGAGGCCCGCCTCTGCTCACACTTCACCAGGTCACGCCTGTCGGAGGCCCATCCATCCCTTCTCCCAGCGGCCTGTGGCTCTGGCACTGTCTAGTCCATTAACCAGGAGGGTGGGGCCTGGGTGCCAGGGCTCCCCACGGCGCCCAACGCACCGCCCGCCCACGTGCGACCAGTTCGTGGCTGTGACAGGTAAGGCCATGCGGACGGGCTGGACACTGCCAGCTCATCGGCCCAGCAGGCCCCTGGGGCAGGGAGCTGTGTGACTGGCTTCCTCTCCGTAGGTCTGTCCATCCATGAGAGTCCACACCCAGACCCCGCAATGGCCCCCACACAGAAACTGGACCCAAGACCCCGCGACAGCCGCCACACAGGCCCTGAGCTGACGCTGAGCTGGGGGCCGGGGCCCTGTGTCACCCCTGCTCCTGCTCCTTACTGAGCAAGGCCCCTCGACCCACAGGCCCTGTCCCCACCTGCCGTCCCCTAGCTGACTCTCCTGGAATCAAGGCTGTGGCCTGTGGCGCTTGTCAGGCCCCCCTCCCTGGGTCTGTCTGTCCCAGACTGTGGGGACCTGCCCTCGAAAGGGCTGCCATCTGCCCACTGCACACACCCAGCAGAGACCAGCGGACCCCACCAAGGTGCCAAGGACACCACCTCCAGGACCTGCCGCGCCCTGGGCCGAGCGGGCCTGTGTGCTCCTGGGTCGGCAGGGTCAGGAGGTACCGAGGGAGCCCCAGGTGCCCTGGGGCCTGGACACAGCCAGCGACAGGTTACAGGCAGGGCAGCTGTGGGCAGGCAGGCACCCAGAGTGTGGTGGCCATGCGGGCGGCCTCTCCTCACACGGGCCCTGGCTTCCGCCAGGCTGCACTTCCGCTGTCCAGCCTACACCGGCCGGTGTGTGGAGGGCAGGCGGGGAAGGGGTTAGGTTGAATCCACCCTGGCTTCTAGTTAATCCTGTGCTCTCCCCACGGGAGCGGCAGCTGGGGCTGATTGCGTGCTCATGACGTCTGAGTGGCTAATGAGCTATGACCGGCTGGCAGCTCCCCGCCACCCCAAGAGCCAGTTAAGCACACGCCCCTCCCTGTCGGCAGCACTGCGCCGCGAAGCAGGACCCGACTCCAGCTGCTTCCTCCTGGACACGTCTATAGCGGCGGACGCAGGCGCTCTTCCCGTGGGAGCACAGCCAGGCCCCCTGCCATGTCCTGTCACTGACCCCGGCAGCTCGGTGAGCCCGTGACTGGCCAGATGCACGTGTGGGCTCCTGTGTGCTCAAAGACGAAACCCCTGTTTCCTCTGGACTTAAACACGGCGGGGCGGCCTTGGGCAAGGCTGGTCTCCCAGTCGGCGCGGGACCAGAGCCCTGCTCTCCGAGGACACGGCAGGGGCCACTCAGACAAGCCCGGTGGCTGCGTGCACACGCTGTATCCGGCAGGGCCTGCAGGATGGGTGTGCCAAGCCGCACGGTGTCTCTGGGCGCTGGCCTTTGCCCTGGGGCTCAAGGGGCAGCCGCTGCAAAGCTCAAGTGTCCCACGCACCTGCCGGCTGCAAGGGGACAGGACACCGGGGTTGCCGGGCGGTCCTTGTCCCTCCCCGCCTCAGGACACTGGGTTCTGCTGACCATGGCTACTCGGGAGGACGCACGTCTGAGGGAAAGCGAAGCCCAGGGAGCACTTCGGGGTCCCAGGTAGACGCGGCCGGCCAGACTACGGGCCAGGCAGGGACTCGGCCCGGAGCGGGGAACCCTCAAAGCCCACACGCTGCGTTCATGACTGCAGGGACGCCGGTCCCCAGCACCCGAGGCTCACCTCCCGGCCACTCCGTCACCCAGGACCTCGGGCCCAAAGGGCTGACGACCGCCTGCCCGTCCGCAGGGACAGCGGCCTCAGCAGCGTGTGCCCAGGGCCAGTTCCAGCCACCCTGCCGTCTTCATCGAGTCCCTCCCCCCTCAGCTCGGCTCCCTGCAGGGCGTGCTGGGCCAGATCTGGCACTGAACACGTCCTGACGCGGGCCACAGGCCTCTGGGAAACAAAGCATGCGTGTTCGCCATCTCGGAAACGGGTGGGAGAGGACGGGCCACTGTGGGCTCTGCCCGACCCTGGTCCAGCTGCCTCGGCTGGGTGTTCCAGGGTCAGGGCCAGAGTCTCACAGGACGGATGGGAGCTGCCGCTCGGGGCAGGCTCTCGGCTGCGACTTGGGAGGAAGCTGCCAAGGGGGCAGCGGGCCTGCCAGCACGCACCAGGAGCAACGGGTCCTGGGCTCGTGGCCACCTGGCTGCCGTGGAGCAGAGGTGGAGCAGGCCCCGCCGTGCAGAGGCTGTGCAGAGGGCTGGGTGGCAGGTCTCCGGTGAGGGACAGCAGCGTGCCTGGCCGTGGGGGGCCCCAGCCCATGAGGGGAGGCAGGTCCACCTCCGAGGGACGCGGGGCTTGGTGCAGGCCTGGGGCTCCTGGCTCCTCCCGAGGGACATGGGTCTTAGCAACGCCTCTCGGGGCTGGGGCATGAGGCGTGTGCACCCGTTACCTGGGAACCCCCGGCCTGGGGACACCAATGCAGATGCAGCCTGAGTGGGCATCACACTCCCGCCCGCAGAGCAAGGCCTACCTGTTTTAAACCAGCCGTCTGTGGTGAACGCACTCCTGGTCTCTTCCGGCCTGTCCCAGTACTCCCGAAACACAGAGGGCCCCCTGACCAGCAGCTCCCCCTCCTGTTCCTCGAACCCTGGGGTCACCTGCAGAACGGAGGCAGGTGTGTGGTCAGGGCCGGGCACAAGCCTCTGGGTACCGGGGTCCCCCCACAGCGCGGGTGGGGGCGC